GTTTCGGGCCTAGATCCTGAAGCGTCTAGGCCCAAAACGTCAGCCTTCCTGCTCCTCTGATGCTGTTTGGCCTGCTGTGTTCATCCAGCTCTACACCTTGTTATCTCAGATTTTCCAGCATCTGCAGTTCCTACTATCTCTGATACAAAAGGGAGGAAGAACTTAGAATAATACTGCACCTATTATTAAATAACTGTTCCATATAGTAATATCCCATAAACACACCCCTTGGCAAAAAGCCAAATTCAAACAGACTCTCACATGCAACTCCAGCAGCAGAAACAGACCGAGACTGCAAGAGAGACAGAGGGAGAGCGAGGGAGCAAGAGCACGACACACACAGTGAACACAGAGTAGCAGCCAGGAGACATTTACTGCAGCTTTCAACCCTGTTGAGGCCCCAACAGCTGCTGCTGAGCCTCAAAGCTAACTAAAAATCCCTGATCAGAGAGAGCTTGGTCACACCCATTCAGGCTGCATCTATTGAGAGGCCTTGTGGTTTTTTTTTAAGAAGTTGGAACAAGCTGTTTATCTTCAGACTGCTCACCACCTGTTCCCCAGCCTCTTTTAAAGAAATCAGGACAAAACACATCTCTTAAAGCCACAGCATTGTCACAGGTTAAAGGCAGCACTTCACAAAATTTAAGCACGTGCATCCTCGTATTGCCCCTTTCAGAATAGTGAAGACCATGAGCCTGTTGTCCAATTGCTTTCTGACCAGATTGTCTTTGCATGTATAGAGAGATATCTCAAGATGTTGGAGTAGACCCCACAGTTCTTTAAGCCCATGCAAATATTCAAACATGATCATGGCCAATGCTTTAACTCAACCTTCCCGCCTCCTCCCTTGGTTCCCTAAAGGGCCAAGAAACGTTGTCTGAAACTCTGCCTTAAACATATTTAATGATGGAGCATTTACAGCCCTGTGGAGGAGGAGTTGAGAATTCCAAAAATTCACAACCTTTTCAGTGACATTATTTCTCCTCCTTTCAGTCCTAACCAATTAGCCCTTTATCCTGAGACTGTGGACCCCTGCTCGAAAATCCCCAGCTAGGGTGAAGGAAAGCACAGTTTCTCAACATCTACCCTGTCAAGACCCTTCATTCTACTAAACCCCAGAGATTAGCCCAATTTACTCAGTCTCTCATGACAGCAGAGCCTCCTCATTGCAGCTGCAGTGGGAGACATACAATTGTTACAGACAGTGAAATCACAAGGACTTGCTCTCTGCATTTAAATAAGACTATTAGGCACAGGAGCAGAAGTAGGCCATTCAGCCCATTGACCCTGTTCTATTATTCAATGAGATCATGGCGGATCTGTTAATCCTCAACTCCACTTTCCTGCCTTTTCCCCATAGCCCGGAGATGAAGCCAACTCTTAGCCCAGATAGTACAACTGAATTCTGAAGGAGGTTACCAGTCCTGAAAAATTAACTCTGCTTTCTGTCCAGAGGCTGCCAAACCTGCTGGGTTTTTCCAGCAATTTTTGATTATGTTTCCGAGTGCAATTATTGACTTGACCATGGAAATGGCAGGTCAAAAGGAAACAGAAAAAAAAAATACAGCCCAGAAACAGACCCTTCAGTCCAACCAGTCCATGCTGACTATAAATCACAAACTAAGCTAGTCCCACATCTCTCCAAACATTTCTTATTCATGAACATATCCAAATGTCTTTTAAACATTGTAACTGTATCCACCACTTCCTCCGGCAGTTGATCACACATGACCTACTAGAAAAGTTGCCCGTCTTGTCTTTAAAATCTTTCTCCTCATGTTAAAAATATGCCCCTAGTTTTGAACAGCTCCACCCTAGGGAAAAGACCCTGGTTATTCATCATATCTCTGCCCCTTGTGATTTTGTAAACCTCTACAAAGTCAGTCAGTCTCCTAATCCCCAATGAAACAAGTCCCAGCCTATCCAGATTCTCCTTAACTCAAGCCCTCCAGTCTCAGCAACATCCTGGTAAATCTCTTCTGAACCCTCTCCAATTTAATAATATCCTTCCTATAACAAGGCGATTGGAACTGTACACAGTACGCCAGAAGAGGCCTCACCCATATCACCTTCCACTGTCTCTGTATAAATTGATGCAAATTAAAGACAATAGAGTTCTCTTAAATTGCACGGTTTCCATCTCAGAATCATAACATGCCCCAACAATTAGAAAGTTAATAATACCCAAGAACCTCCCTGTATCTTTTCAAAATAGTGACGGTTGCATATTTTACATTCCCCAACCCCAGAGAGGATAGATGTCTGCTTTCATGTCTCATCTAAAACACAGCATTTTTGACAGAGCAGAGCAGAGATAGCAAGAACTGCAAATGCTGTTGTCTCTGACTTCACAGTATGGAGCTTGAGGAACGCAGCAGGAAAATCGACCCTTGGAAGGGTCCCGACCTGCAACGTCGACTTTCCTGCTCCTCTGATGCTGCCTGGCCTGCTGCGTTCCCCAAGCTCCACACAGTGTTGTCTCTGACAGAGCAGCCTTCCCTCAGAATTATACTGGAGCGTCAGGCTAGATTAATTGTCCATTTTGTTTTAAATTGGAGCAGGATGTGAACCCACAATGGACTCAGATGAGAGCATTACTGCATGCTGACACCTTCACACTGGTGGATACCAGCATTCCAGCCTAGTTATTTCTTTTCTTTATTCTTCCAAAAGACTTGGGCATTGCTGGCAAGGTGAACATTTGTAGCACACCCCTAACTGCACTTGAACAGTGGCTTGCTGGGATTATTTCAGATGGCAGTTAAGAATCGATCATGTTGTCATGGGTCTGGAGACCCATGTAGGCTAGACCCAAATAAGGTTGGCAAACTTCCTTTTCTCTAAGAAAAGTGAACCAAGTGAGTTTTTACAACAATGGATAATTTTACCCAATCATCATGGTAGAAAAAAGCCTTACAATTCCAGATTTGTGGGATTTGAACCCACATCTAAGGGATTAGACTGGCCCTTCCTGATTACTAGTTCCCAGACATTACTGTGGCACCACCATCTTCGCTTTGGATTCAAAATGCGCAGTGCTAGGCAGCTGGTGACCTAGTGACAAAGTACTTCCTCAGTGACTTACATCGAGAGCCTTACTCCAGGCAGGCTGGTGGGATGTCGAGTCCCAGAAATGGATCAACTTGTCTTGCCCACACGTCACAAACCTGTCCTCACCTGGGTGAGCAGCAAGTCCCCACAGCTCGTCCATATGACCCTGTGGAGGAAAAAAAACCAGGAAGATTAACACCGTGACACAAGACTCAGTTAGGAGAGAGCATACACCTTTATCTTGAGGAAGAGGAAGGCGTATGTTTGTTCCCACACACCACTCTCCATTCATTCAGTCTCTGGTCTAGAACAGGAGCAAAACAAAGAAAAAAAATTATATGAACACATGAATGGCTTTGCCTCAAAAAAAAAGAGATTCTCAAACAATTAGCTGGTCAGAGATTACAACACAGAAACAGACCTTTCAGTCCAACTCATCCATGCCAAATCAGATATCCTAAATTAATTTATTCCCATTTGCCAGCATTTGGCCCATATCCATCTAAACCCTTCCCATTCATATACCCATCCAGGTGCCTTTTAAATGTTGTCATTGTACCAGCCTCCACCACTTCCTCTGGCAGCTCATCGCATACACGCACCACCCTCTGTGAAAAAGTTGCCTCTTAGGTCTCTTTTAAATCTTTCCTCTCTCACCTTAAACCCATGCCCTCTTGCTATCCCCAAAACCAGAACTGCAGATTTTTCTTTTTAAACAAAGTGGGGATGATCCAGTTCCGTAGGCAGGTACTGAGAAAGGAGATGTGGCCGTAGTACCTGGCCTCCCCACCCTGGGGAAAGACCTCGGCTATTCACCCTATCCATGCCCCTCATGATTTTAAGCCTTGATAAAGGTCACACCTCAGCCTTTGACACTCCAGGGAAAACAGCCCCAGCCTGTTCAGCCTCTCCCTATAGCTCAAACCTGCCAACCCCAGCAACATCATTGTAACCCTTTCAAGTTTCGCAACATCTTTCCTATAGCAGGGAGACAAGAATTAAACACAGCATTCCAACAGTCGCCTAACCAGTGTCCTGTACAGCCACAACGTGACCTCCCAACTCCTATTACTCAATGCACTGACCAATAAAGGCAAGCGTACCAAACACCTTTTTCATTACCCTGTCTATCTGCATCTCCACTTTCAAGGATTACGTCTTGGCAACTAGATAGATCCTGCCCTCACTCCCCCTACCTAGTGAATACATATCTTTCACAGCAGGCAAGAAAAAACAACAACAAATTTATAGCACCTTACAGAAAAAAAAAGTGTTAAGGTATTCATCAGGGCTTTACAAAAATTAAAAGTGATACTGACATACAAGGAAATATTTGGATATCTGACCAAAAAGACATTTTAAAAGAAGTCTTAAAAGTAAATAAAAAACAAAAAAAAAGAAGAAAGAGACATAGACCGGTGGAGGAGGTTAAGAAGGGGAGAATTCCAGAGCATGATGCCCGGGGCACTGAAGGCACAGCCACTGGTGTGGAGCAACTGGTATCAGAGATGCCCGAGGCCGAGATTTCAGAGAGCAAAGAAGATTACAAGGATAAGCTATAGCGATTTGTAAACAAGAATAAGAATTTTAGAATTGTAACCCCTGTTCAACCACAGGACCAAGGCAGATCAGTGAGCACTGGTTTGGAGGAGGAGAAGGGGGGGGTGGGGTTGGGGTGGTGGGTGGTTGGCGGCATTGAGAGAGGGCAAAGCAGAACATGGCACAAGTTAAAGGCAACGTTTTCAATGACCATCACTTTACAGAAAGCCAATACATTGAAAACATACAAAAACCAAACAACTGGCGAAATCTTCTTTACCTCTTCAGATGCTCAGAACCACAGGAGATAACAAGGACAAGTGTTTCCTTAAAGTAAATTAGCTTTATAGTTGTTGCCTTAACTCAGCGACATCCTCCAAACACTAGTCCCTTCACCCTTCGTTCCTCCTAAATGTTACACACTGCCCACATAAACAACCTCTCCATCTTGCCTCATCCCCTTCTGAAAGGGGTCGACAAATCCCTGTTGACCAATCTCCCTCTCAACCAGAAATCATTCATTGTCCACCTGAAGCATCCCTCAGGGTGCCACAGATACTGCTGTTAACCTCCCCACCACTGGCAGGACAGCAATTTAAAGACATCCAACTTGAACAAGGGTGTGGGGACAACAAAAAAAGGAACCATTTTGTTCAACATTTGCAATTTCTTACTTGTACAATAGGGCAGTATCCCCCACTCAATGTGCCTTGGAGAATGCAGTTCCTTGTTGTGCCAATAAATAATCCATCACCTTTTCCTTCTGCAATTGTTCTCACTGGGCCAAAGGCCTCAGGGATCTGTGGTTTTAAAAAAATACAGAAGACAGCACATAAGGTAAACAGTTCTGAAGCACTCTTGCCATCCAGAAGTTTAGCCAAATCAGAATCTCATCAATCCCAGTATAGAAGGGATATGGAAAGGTTTACACCACAAAAAAAAAGGAGACCATTCAGCCCATCATATTCACACTAATTGGAAACACGTTGTCCTTCCCAAAACTCACCTTCCATCTCTTGGTCCATAGCCCTGTTAGTGACAGCACTTTGAGTCCACATCTAATGCGGTTTTCTTTAAATATGATGAGGGTAGTGAATTTCAGACAGTTAATTCCAGGCCCCACCACCCTCTGTTTCTCAAGTTCCCTCTAATCACAGAAGGTACAGTCTCAGGATAAGGGGCTAATCGTTTAGAATCGAGGAGGCAGTGAAATAATTGCAGAGGTCGGTATACCCTTTTTATTCAAAATCCCAATTACTTTATTCAAAAGGGTGCGAGAATCTTTGGGAACTCAAGCAGAGATGGCTGTGGAGTCTCCATTATTGATGATGTTGAAAATAGGTTTTTTAGTCTTTCGGGGAATTCCGAATGTGGACTTTAAGCTGCCCTCACATTATGGGGTGAGGTTAGTCACAACTAGACCCACAGGCAACAGTGGCTCGTCAGCAAGATTACCCCATACCAAAGAGAACCAGCTGTCCTGAAGTTTAATCAGAGCACTTAAAAACGCATTTCTTAGTCACCTCAGTTTCCTGGACCTTGTGGTACTGCCTGTCCCAGAGGATGACCTTGCGATCTTTCCCTCCACCGGACACGAGTGTCCCATCATTCAGCACGCAGAGGCTGAAAATGCCACCTTCGTGCGCCCCTTGAACTGCAGAGCTGATCCGGTTAGTTCCTGCAAAAAAAAAGAAATAAGCCCCACAGCAGGGAGGAAAAGCCAACGAGCAGCAACAAGAGGACTGCAGGTAGGAAACAGCAGGTTAAAAAGTGGAGCAATAAATGCTAATCTATAACCCACTAAAACAGGAAGAACCACATAGCAACAGCAGGAGAATGTCTTCTTCCATGTAAGAAAGCTGAAAAGCGACATTTAATTAAAAAGTTGTCATGCAACAACGATTTCAAAAAATGGCAATAAACCCATGTAGTTTTTAATTAAATTCCCTCATGAGACATGGGGGCTACTGGCTGAGCCAGCATTTATTACCAACCCCTAGTAGTTGCCCCTTGAGAAGGGGGTGGTGGTAGTGAACTGCCTTCCACTTAGCGTCGGTAGACCCAGTGCTGGGAAACCCTGTTTAACTTTGTAAAACATTCACTTCATTGGAGCACTGTCAAATATAATAAAACCAAGCAACATGTGGATGGGCGTTTGATCAAAGAGGTAGACATGAAAAACAGTGTTTTTTCAATAAAAGAAGTTTAAAAATAAAGGAGAAGCAGATATTTTTAATGAATGGGATCTAAAGTTTTACTCCTGGCTAGATTTGGAGGCAGGGCATATTTCAGTTTCAAAAACTGAAATTGCTGGAGAAGCTCAGTAGGTCTGACAGCATCCGTGAAGAAAAATCAGAGTTAACATTTTAGGTCTGGTGATCCTTCCTCAGAATAGCTAGGAAAACGTTGGTTTATATGCAGATGATTGTGTTGGGGCTGGGGGCAGTGTTTAAGGACAGAGCCCAAAGAGAAAGAAGAACAGTTAGACAGATAAAAAGGAGTGGATTACGGCCTGGCTGGGTGGGGGTGGTGAATAGCTATTAATGGGGACTTTCAGTTCTCTGGCAGTTCAGATATCATCCATCATTACTTGCACTCTTAACAGTTCTTCCCCATCTCCCAGACAGAATACACATGGATAGTAAAATGGAAACAGGTCCCTTGAGCCTGTTACACAGAAATTACAACAAGAAGATAGGTCATTCAGCCCAACATGTCTCCTTTCACAAAATCCTCTATCCTTTTTCCACTGTGCACTTCTGCAGTTATCCACAATGCAATGCTTCATTGTTTTGTCCCAAATACTGTGGGAATGGGTTGCACATTTAGCTACTCTCCGGGTGAGAGATTTTTTTCTGGAATTTGCTGTTGGATTTAGTAACTCAAGTGGGAACATCTTCCCTATCAATCTCCTTCATAATTGAAGAGAAGTCTTGTCAGACCCTGTCTGCCTTAGAAGCAAAAGTCCCAATTCTACTTTATGTTGGTGTTTTAAGGCAGTTCTTCTACCCACCCATGGAAATACCCAAGTTTGGGGATCACTGTGCTGTCTGCACATATTAACAAGGGGCAAGCAGCCTCAGAGGGAGTGCAAGTAAGGCTCTTCAACTCCTAAAGATCTTGCAATACTTCATTTATAGCCATGAAGCAGATTACAAAAAAAAACTCAATCTTAGTTCCCAAACTCCCCCCACCCCCGCCCCTTCTCACTTTACATACAGTACTCATTCTAGACTGGTATTGTTTCTTACTGATGAAAGTGGAGTGATCAGTTGCATCATTGACTATGAATCTCGTTGTTCCACAAATTTATGGGTAGCTTTGCCCAAAAAGTAAAAAACTAAGTTGCTAATAGTCCCTGAGGACGAGAGACCGACAACTGGTGGTAAGTTTAACCTGAAGGTCAACATGCCTCAGTTGAGGGCTAAGATTGAGAAAGCAGGACTTTCAAAGGTGAGCTCAGTGGGTGTGAGAACTGTTGGCGTCACTATTGGAAACCAGTGGTCTAGCTGCCTGATGCCATTGCTGCAGTTTAGTAATCAGCAGTTCAATAATACCATGACTGATCGGTATTGCAACTCCATTCACCAAGCTTGGGTCTGTAAAACTTAAAACTGAAAATTTCACTTTCAAAGCATTTCATGTGATCCCAACTTGGAGAGGAAGACAAGTATCCACTTCCTGGTGTTTGTGGGATACACCACGGTTCATTGACCTAGGTCCAATGTGAAGGTGATGCCTCTTGGACCTGGGCTGATTTGCCAAACCCACCGAGAGACAATGGTTTCTCTCCATATCTACAACCAAATTCTTTAAAACAAATACAAGCCCATCACGGAGATTGCCCCTCAAGATCATATAAAATCAGGAGTAGGTATACGGTGAGAGGGAGTGAGGGGAAAATTTAAAAAGGGACCTAAGGGGCAACTTTTTCCACAGAGGGTGGTGCATGTATGGAATGAGCTGCCAGAGGAGGTGGAGGAAGCTGGTACAATTACAACATTTAAAAGGCATCTGGATGGATAGGAAGGGTTTAGAGGGATATGGGCCAAGTTCTGGCAGATGGGACTAGATTAATCCAAGATATCTGGTCAGCATGGATGAGTTGGACCAAAAGGGTCTGTTTCCATGCGGTATAACTATGACCGTTCAACCCATTGAGCCTACTCTAGGATTCAACATCACCACGATTAGTATGAAGGCAGTCTCAGAGCCATTTTCCTTTCTGTTCTCCATAACCATTTATAGCTCAAAAGCAGTCAAAGTCTGTCCGATAACACAACGTCACTGCTCTTATCTTGGGGTGGGGGAGAAGAGAGACAGAGGAGACAGAGGCGAGAACTCCAAAGACTTAAAAACCCACAGATGAAATTGCAACTCGTCTCCATGTGAGAAACCCCGTCGTTTAGTTCCAGGTACCCCCACAAGGTGAAACATCCTCTCAGCATCCATCCTGTCGAGCCCCATCAGAACCTTATGTTTCAAGAAGATCGCCCGAGATTCTACCCAACTCCAATAAGTATAGGCTTAACCTACCTAACGTGGCCTCAGAAGGCAACTACCTCACCCCAGGGATCGGCCGAGTGATCTTTCCCTGAACTGCTTCCAAAGTATAATCCATTAAAAGGTTCCCAGAACTGCACACCGTATTCCAGGTGCAATTTCCCTCATGCCCTGTAAAGTTGTACCTAGACTTTCAAGCTCAACTCCCCACGCAATAAAGGCCACAATTGCCTTGGCTTTCTTAATATCTTGCTGCATCTGCATGCATTTGAGATTCATGACACCCAGATTCTCTTGTACTTCAGTATTCTGTAATCCCTCTCTGGTTAGTTCTTGTACATTAAATCTCAAATCAGCTGTAAAAGTACACTGGAATGGCGACAAAAAACATATTACACAAATGTACATCTCTTTCAGTTTGTTGTATTTAAAACAGATTCCAGAACAGCAAGTCCAGGAACGCTAGCCAGTTCTGCAATCGTTCCGAGCAACTTCCTTACCTTTTCCCCAAACGATCAGGTTTCCACTCGAATCACCAGTGATCACATCTCCGTTCTCGGAAAAAGCCAAACACAGAAGGTATTTGGGTTTCTCTTGCTTCTGTAAACAGCAAGTTTCAAAGATTCAAGTGATTGACAGCCCAAAAAGGAAAAGCCTTTTAGTCCATCATGCCTGCACCAGAGTCATCCAAATAGTCCCACGCATCTTCCTCATTCCCCATAGCCCTGCAAATTTTCTCCTCCAAAGAAACAATTCATTTATTTGCAGATGAAAAAGGTCACTGCTGAATTTGCTTCCACTGCCCAATTAACCAGTATCTTCAGACTGAAGCTTTAGCATAACATAGGGCAGGTAGGGATAAGGTTAAAAACAAAGAGAAAAAAACAATGAAACTCCTGAAATGGAACCTCAACACAAGACTGCCTGAGTGCAATTAAAGTATTCAGCTAAGAAAATATTAGCCTTTAATGTCTTAAACTTGCCCCCTCTCAGAGACCACAAAAATCAGAAGGAAACTCAACTCAAGTCCTCTCTGCCAATGGCTGATCTGACCCATCTCAACTCAAACTCCATCTCCATCTCTCAAAACAAACAAACAGACAGACAAAGAATCAGAGTTATGGGATGAAATAACGCACAGAGGCCAGTATTCCATCAGCAAGCCACCCTTTATTTACACAGGGACTCTGACCAGCCAGCTCAGAGCTGGTCCCCAGAATCAGACTCTCTGACACTCCTGTTTATATCTGTCAGCGATGGCTCTCTGATTGGGGCTGTTAAGCTGGGTCAATCAAGCATCTGAGTCAATGAGATTATCCTGGCCCTTATTCCAATCACTGCATGTGGAAAAGGCAGGAAAGTGGCGTTGAGGGTTACCAGATCAGCCATGATCTCATTGAAAGTCAGAGCAGACTCGATGGGCTGAATGGCCTACTTCTGCTCCAATGTCGTAGGGTCCCTTAATTTCCCACAAAAAGTAAAGAAAATAAAGGCTACTTTACTTTCTACCTTGAAAAACCCTGTGGCTGAGTTCTCTGGGTTAGAGAATTCCAAAGATTCAAGTGATTTTTGAGAAGGACTTCTTCCTCATCTCCACCGTAAAATGCATATCCTTTATCCTGAAGCTGTTGTCCCTACATCTAGATTCCACAGTGGGCAGTTGTGAAGAGAGGGGGCAGGTGGGGAGAGAAAACAAATGTCTCTACTATACTGGTAGAGCCAGGGACAAAAAAAAAATCCATGACCCTGTCTATTTCCTGGACCGGCCTCCCATTCTGGACCTGGCCAGAGTCCTGAGAGTCTCAGGCCCCAGCTATTGGGTCTGGGAGAAAAAAAGATGGCCTCAAAAGATTCGTTACTTATCGTTGTCAAAACTTAGCTTTTAATTTAACTGTAATAAAACACCAACTATATACAGGTCATGCTGTCACCTCTGCGAGCAAGGGACAGCCATCTCCTAGACTTCATGTAATCTCCCCAAAGACCATGTAAAACTATTAACATTTTTACACTAATCTATGTTAAGGAAGGTACGATATATTTTTGAATAACAGAATCACTTGCTTCCCCAACTCATAACCTTTGCTTGCACAAAAGGACTAGGTGTTGAAATTTCATGGGTTTAGAAATCCCTGGCGTGCTGCTAGTAGCTTCCCACCACAAATGCTGACCCAACCAATCCCCCTCCCTCCGCCGTGGCCCTCGATCAGAGTTCACAGGCAGGAGGCAAGGGTTCTGAGGAAGGGTCACCAGACCCGAAACATTAACTCCGTTTTCTCCTTCACAGATGCTGCCAGACCTGCTGAGCTTTTCCAGCAACTTTGTTTTTGTTCCTGATTTACAGCATCCGCAGTTCTTTTGGTTTTTATTTAGGAGGCAAGGGTTATTGTTAGAACAGGGGTTTGGAAGAGCTAGAATGGAAAGCAAGTAGACCACTCACTTAGTCACACTAAACAGCCAATTAGCCACCACCAGAAAAGGGAAGGTGGTGTTGAGAATGGGCTCCACACCAGAAAATCATGGCCACAAGTTTAAAAAAGGACCACGTCTCAAATCCCAGAGAGATGGGACAGTGAGGGAGTGTCACTGTCAATGGCTTGCATCTCAGACCTCCTGCAAACAAAAATTGTACTGAACAGCTGTCCTCATGGACGTTTACAAAATTATGAGAGGCATGGATAGAATGGATAGTCAGTCTTTTTCCCCCAAGAGTAGAAATATCAGTTACTAGGGAACATAGGTTTAAGGTAAAAGGTTGGGGGCTAGTTTAAAAGGAAATGTGAGAGGCAATTTCTTTTAAAAAAAAACAAGGGGTGGTAGGTGCCCTGGAATATGTTGCCAGAGGTGGTGATAGGAACAGATACAATAGCAACTTTTAAAACACACCTTGATAGAGAGAGGATTACAGGGATATGGGTCGCATACAGTTTAGAAAGGCATCATGTCTCTGCACAGGCTTGGTGGGTCAGACGTCCTGTCCCTGTGCAGTTCTTGGAACAGTACAGGAGCTTTCCCACCACCCCATCTTTAAGAACAAAGCTGCTCACCTCGAAAATGCCGTGTTTCTTGGAGAGAGTGTTGCCTTCCATCGTCCAGAAGCAAATGTGGGATTTGCCGCAGGTGATGAGGAGCTGGGCTTCAGTGGGGTGGAAACTCACTGCCAGCACTGACTCGTTGGAACACTGTTTAAAGGAAGAATGTGGAAAGGACAGGGAGAGGTTAGACAGGCACCTGCACACAAAGGAGGAAGTCACAGAGAAACTCTCCCACTGCGCACAAGGTGACAAGAAGGCATTACAAGACTAAGAAATACAGAAAACAGAAATGCACCATTTGGCCTAGCAAACCTGTGCTTCATTTAATATGACCATGGCTGATCTTGAGCTTCAACTCCACTTACTATCTAGAGGAGCAAGTAGAAAAATGTCAGTCCATGCCAGTCTTAACCACACTCAATGATGGAGCATGAGGGAGACTTGCTCCTTTTGATAGTCTCAGGATGGGCTGAGATCCCTTTAAATGTGCCTCTTTTTGGGCCGGTGGATGTAGCCTAGTCTGATGAGCTTAATGCTCACACCAATGGTGCCTGCTAAATGACAGGTGTCTTTGTTGGGTTTATTTTGTAGAAAGCTATTTATTACTGGACAGAGAGGCACAGAAATATCAACACAAGACAAGCACAGTCCATGAGGATATAAAAGGTCTGTTTATGGGAGAAACCACATGAAGTCTTTAACAGAAGTGGGGGGTGCAAGAGGCATCCGGTCTGGAGAAACAGAATAGGTTTATTACAAAATACTTAATGTTTTCCTCTTTTTTTAAAATATACCACGGGTGTTATCACACTCAATGCTTTCCCAAAAATCACCATGACCTTTTTTTTCCCTTTTTAAACATTAACCACCACTAGTAACACAGCCATGTTGCCAATCAAATCACAGATTCCCTACAACATTGAAGCAGACCATTTGGCCCATCAAGTCCACACCAACCCTCCAACCCTACCCTATCCTTGTAACCCTGCATTTCCCATGGTGAGCCCACCCAGCCTGCACATCCCTGGACACTATGGGCAACTTAGTATAGCCAGTCCACCTGACTTGGATGTCTCTGGACTGCGGAAGGAAACCAGAGCATCCTGATGAAACTCACACAGACATGGGGAGAATGTCTGTGTGGAATTTGCGTAGTCTTCGGAGGGTGGGATCGAACCCAAGTCCCTGGCGCTGTGGAGGCAGCAGTGCTAACCATTGTGCCACCCTAAGAAAATAGGGCTCATCCAGGATTTGAACCCAGGACCTCTTACATATCTACAATGTGCAAGGCCCTAACTGAGAATCATACCCCTAGACCAACGAGCCATTGCCATATATTTACATGCAAAGCCCATCAAGGGCAAATGCAAGCCATCAAAAGTGAAGGGGAGGTAGGGACAGAGAATAAAGGGACCACAAAGTACTAAATAGCCAGTTCAATTAGATCTGCATCCTTTAAGATTTCAGCCTAGATTTAAGACTAAGCATGCATTATTGCTAGCTATATAGAACTCACTGAACTGGAACTGAACTAATTGTGGTCAGCTTCTCCTAGGGACAGTCCTTTCATACTCTAATGGGTAGGGGCTTACCTTGGTGCTATTTAACTCTTTCTGGTAATAAGTGACCTTGTACAACACAAAACAAAACAAAAATATCCAACGGGGATTACAATTTTATTTATTATTCATTCACAGGATGAGGCCATCACTGTGGCATTTATTGCTCATCCCAGTAGAGATGTAGTGATGATGTGCCACAAGATGGTGGACTTGTCATGTGACATTGAATAAGTCACAGGAAGTGATGCAATCTTATTTGCAAGTGATGCAATCATCCCTTACGCCACAACTCTCAGTAATGCACATTTCAAACAAACCAATCATGACACAATAACATGGTGCCGTACCTTCACATCAGCCACCTTTTGCTCTTTCTGCCAGTCCCACACAGACAGGATATGTTCGTTGGAATCATCGACTGCGCACAGGTGAACACCTCCATTCTGCTCAATTCAAATAGTATGGCAGGTGGGGGTGGAAACAAAACACCAGATTCAACATCAGATAGCAACAGCATTGGGAATAGTTCCTGTGTGGGTATCCATGTTGAAGATATGTCCACAGAGGGATCTGTGTGTAGAACCACCCGGGAACTCTTGTCCCTGCTCCTGCAGGAGTGGCCAAAGATCAGGAGGCCTGGCACAGAAGTGGATTCAGGACTTGAAGAAGATTTTGCCCATGTCCAGAGATGAACAACACAGTGAGTGGTAAACTCACAGATGGATGTGTCAGGTTCAAATCCCACTCCAGCGCTTGTTGGCCATGGAAGTTAGAAATAGGAGTAGGCCTTTAAGCTTGCTCTGCCATTCAATAACATCACAGCTGATCTGAACAATGCTTCAACTCCACATTTGTCTGCCCCTGATAAGTTATTGTAGTTGAACATGTTAATAAATAGCCATCTAAATATCTCAGTGCATTCACTATTCCCCAAAATAGGAGCAAAGTGTAAGTACAGAATAAACTTGTCCCACTGTGAACTTTGAACATTGCAAAGTGGTTTTGGCTCACATTGTGTGCATGTGCACACACACGCATGTGTATGTACACCTTAGTCCACAGAAAGGCAAGACAGTCCTGTGTGGAAAGATTTCCAAAATGGGAATACACCCCGCATTCGCTAAATGGCCTTGAAAATAAGTTAAGGAATGGCACTTACGGACTTGGAGAAGGACACGCAAGAAATGCCTCGGTCAAAGACCCCGGATCCGATAACGTGCAGAGTGTTCAGGCTCACAGAGTCCCACACACGCACGTGAGGTGGAAGATGCTGTCCAGGAAGGGGAGAAAATTATTTAGGAAAAGGTCATAATGGAGAACCCCACAAGCACAGGTATCCCATTACCAAGTCATCCTTTGTTTACATATGCATAGTACTTAACACTGGTCTGACTTCCTCAGAGCTAGCTCCTACAGTGGGCAGAACCTGACACACTCCCGTTTATATCTGTCAGCCTGGGCTCCCTGATTGGACCAGATTAACAGCCCCAATCCAGGAACTCATTCTATGAGATCCACCTGGCTGACTTCCATGAAAGAACTGTAAACTTCTTTTACCTGATCTTCATACAGAAATCGTAAACATGCTGATAATGATTTAGTAAGTCTGGTGGAATGTTGGTCATTGTTCTAAGAGGTTTGGAGGACAAGAAGTAAACTCAGGAAATATCTCCTCTGGAAGCAGTTCAGAGCAGGTTCACTATGTAGATTCCTGGAATGAAGGCATCGTCATGAGGGAAGGTTGAGCAGGTTGAACGTGTCTCATTAACAGTGAGGATTGACAGGAGAGCTTTCCAAAACACTTGACATGGTGGGCACTTGACATGGTGATTACTGAAGGAGGTTTCCTCTTGTGGAGAGTTGTTGGGGTTGGGGGTGGTTTAGATGTAGGAAGCACTGAGTTTAAAATGGGAGGTGCCTCCTCTTTAAAAAGGCACAGATGTAAAAAGAATTTCTCCTCTCAGTACCTTCCAAACCTATGACCACTTCCATCCAGAAGGACAAAGGCAGCAGAGACAGGGGAACACCATCATCATCAGGTTCCCCTGCGAGCCACTCACAGTCCTGCCTTGGAAATATATCGCCATTCCTTCAGGGTCGCTGGGTCAGAGTCCTGGCATTCCCTCCCTAATGGCATTGTGGATCAACCCACAGCAGGTGGGTTGCAACAGTTCAAGAAGGCAGCTCACCCCCATCACAAGGGCAACTAGGGACAGGCAATAAATGTTGACAAAGCCAGGGGCACCCACATCCCACAAGTAAATATAAAAAAGGAAGCTGGCTTGATGGGATGAATGGCCTACACCACCTCCTATTTCACATCATCCCAGCAGTGTTAACTGATTCCACAATGAGTAATAAACAGATAAACCTCTTCCTCAGCTGATAAAGTCTATATAACAAGGTAAAATTCACCTATTTGCAGATTTCTCACTAAATTATTCCATATGTTTCCATAATCTGGATATCATCCAGAATTAACAGACCACATACTTTTCCCACCACATCCACAGCTCTGAGGACATTCTACAATGATTACAACAAGCCACAGGTCAGAGGAACCAAAGAAACAGGGAAGCAGGTTATTCCGCCTTTGACCCTGCTCTTCCATTCAATAAGATCCTGGCCAATCTTCTACTTAAACACACTATCTCAAGATCCTTTAACTCCTTAGTATCTGAAATTTGGTGTGTAGTTTTGGTCTCCTTTTCTGAGGAAGGATGCTGTTGCTCTCGAAGGAGGGCAGCAGAGGTTTACCAGGCTGATTATGGGGTTAGCCGGTCAGACGTATAAGGAGAGATCGACTAGGTTGGGATTGTTTTCGCTAGAACTCAGACGAGTGGTCGGCTGGGATATGACTTTATTCCTTGGAACATAGGAGAATGAGGGGCGACCTTATTGAGCTATATAAAATCATGAGGTGCATAGATAAGATGAATGCATATAGTCTTTTTCCCAGGGATGGGGAATTGAAAACTGGAGGGCATAGGTTTAAGGTGAGAGGGGAAAGATTTAAGAAGGACCTGAAGGGCAACTTCTTCACACAGAGAGTGGTGCGTATTATGGAATGGGCTGCCGGAGAGGGTAGTTGAGGCAGATACAATCGCAGCATTTAAAATATATTTGGATAGGTACGTGGATGAGAAGGGTTTAGAGAGATATGGACCAAATGTGAGTAATTGGAACTAGCTGAGTGGGCACCATGGTCAGCATGGACCAGTTCGGGCTAAGGGGCCTGTTTCCATGCTGTATTACTCTATGACTTTATTTGCAAGAATGAAGGAGATCTCAGAGACTTAAAATTCTAACAGGATTGAATATGTAGATTCATAGAGGATGTTCCCGATGGTGGCTATGTCCAGAACCAGGGGACAAAGTATGAAGATTCAGGGTTGACGATTTAGGATGGTGATGAGGAGACATTTCTTCACCCAGTGGTGAGTCTGTGGAATTCATTACCACAGGAAGTAGTTGATGTCAAAACATTGCATGTATTCAAGAGGCGACTAGATATAGCACTTGGGCAAATGGGAATAAAGATTATGGGGAGAAAGCAGGATTAGGCCATTGAGTAGGATGATCAGCCATGATCATGAAGAATGGTGGAGCAGGCTCAAAGGGCCGAATGGTCTCCTCCTACTCCTATCTTCTTTGTTTCTATAACCTCAGCCTTGAAATTTCACAATGATTGTCTATTCACGCTGGTTGAGTTTCTTTTGAAGACATAACCAAAAGGATAAGAGGGCAGAGTGGTTGATATTGTTTACATTGAGTTTAGTGAAGCTTTTGACAGGATTCTGCATGGTAGGCTAATTAGTAATTAGGTTACCTGGCATTCAGAGGGCTTGCCAATTGGATACAAAATTAGCTTGACAGTAGGAGACAGAGGGTGGCAGTGGAGGATTGTTTTTCAGACTGGAGGCATGTGGCCAGCAGGGTTCCACAGGGATCAGTGCTGAGTCCACTGTTTGTCATTTATGTAAACGATTTGGATGAGAATTTGGGAGGCATGGTTAATAAGTTTGTGGATGACATCAAAATTGGTGGTAGAGTGGACAGCGAGGAAGGTTGTCTAAGATTACAAAGGGATCTTGACCAATTGGGCAAATGAACTGAGGGGTAGCAGATGGAGTTTAATTTGGATAAATGCAAGATATTACACTCTGGTAAAATGAACAAGGGGAGGACTTATACAATTAATGGTAGAGCCCTGGGTAGTGTTGTTGAACACCGGGACCTAGGGGTTCAGGTACATAGTTCTTTGAAAGTTGTATCACAGGTCGACAGGGTGGTGAAGGCTGGGTTTAGCATACTTGCCTTCATTGCTCAGACCATTGAGCAGAGGAGTTGGGACATCATGTTGAGTTTGTATAGGATGTCAGAGAGGCCAATTTTCGAACACACAGTGTACAATTCTGGTCACCCTGGTATAGGGAGGATATTATTAAATTGAAGAAGGTGCAGAAAAGATTTAGCAGGATGTAACTGGGACTGGAAGGTTTGAGGTATAAAGGAGAGATATGCTGGGACTTCTCCCCCCACCACAGCAGAGGAGGTTAAGAGATGACCTTAGAGGTTTATATATGCCCCTCATGGTTTTATAAAGGTAAATAGCAAAGGTCTTTCCCCTTGTGTAAGAGAGTTCAAAACTGGACAGCATAGGTTTAAGATGAGAGGGGAAAGATTTAAAAAGGTACCTGAGAGGCAGCTTTCTCATACCAAGGATGGTTCATATGTAGAATGAACTGCCAGAGGAAGTGGTAACATTACAACATTTAAAAGACATTTGGACAGGTCCATGGATAGGAAAGATTTAGAGGGAAATGGGCCAAGCGCAGGCAGGTGGGACTAATTTAGTTTGGGATTATGGGTGGTATAGATGAGTTGGACTGAAGGGTCTGTTTCCTTGCTGTATGACTAGGACTCTCTATCCTTAATCATTGAGACCTTATTTGGAGGCTGTGACTGTGATTCTCCAGCTGGGGTGATGGGGTGGGGAGGAAAACCTTCTGTTCAGCACCTATCCTGTCAACTGATTAGAGAATTTTAGATTTCAAATCAGATCACTCACATTCCCCTCAAATTCTAGTGAACATAGACAGTACCTGGAGTCACTGTGCACAGCTCTGGGCACCATACCTTCAGGAGGATGTATTGGCTGTGGAGGAGTGTGCAGTGAAGATTTAGCAGAGCGATAACTTGGAGTTGGAGGGTTAAATTACAAACAGATTGCACAATTGTATTCACTGGAATTTGGAGGTTAAGAAAGGGATGATCAAATCAAAGCTCTTTGACATTGAGGAGACCCGATAGAGTAGACAGGAGGATCTCTCCTGGTTGGGGAAATCCAAGACTAGGGTACACGCCTACAGATTATCATTAGATCTTTCAGGAGTGACACTAGGAAACACCTCTACAGGCAAGGTGGGTAGAAACTTGGATCTTTCTTTCAAAAATAACAATTCAATGTTAGATTGCAAATTGTAAAAGTGACACAGATAATACTTCTGGTTGATAGAATTCTAAATGGTACCAGGCAAAGGTGTTGGGTCACATCTTAGAATGACAGGCTTGAGAGGCTGAATGGCCTCCTCCTATTGCTATGCCCCTTGCTTTCTGCAGTTCAAGATAATAGGCCCATTGTTAGATGCATATTATACAAGAGAAGTCAAACCAAATAGGCAAATTTACCACCTCTATTTGAAGAGCACAAATAGAAATTTGAATAGGTTGTACCTTTCCATCTTTTGTGGTTCCTGCCACCTGCCCTGTTGCCATGGTGACCCTATCAGGATGTACTGCAAGGCTGAGAGAGACAGAGAGAGGAAGAGGAATGAGTCACAATGTAGGCCTTTAATTCCTCATCAATAACAGTACTAGGTCCGGACTAAAGCTAGAGTCATAGCAAGAGAGGCCTAGTGACACACTGTGTACAACCTTTATGCAGGTTACTGTTTCTACTTCTATTTTCTTTCACTTTTTCAGTGTTATTTTACTGCATAAGGTTTCACTAACAATAGACAGGGTCTTTAACCAAGGCATAAAATGGGCAGCTCATAAAAGAAAAAAGGCTGTGAATTTCACTCAGTAGGGGGCAGTGATATGCAACGGTCCAAGTGGCTGATGAGAACCGTTTCCAAATGGTGGCCATTCCGTTTCTTTCCCATCCCAATTCCTTATAATCCCTGGATCAATAGTGAATACCCCACATCATGCAGAGACTCAAGAGTACCCCAGGCTGTCACCAACATAAGGTAGTGATTAGCTGGGTCAAAATCCTGGAAATCCCTCCCTAATGGCATTGTGGGTCAACCCACAACAGGTGGACTACAGAATTTCAAGAAGGCAGCTCACCCCCACCTTCTCATGGGCAACTAGGGATAAACAGCCAGGCGGCAACACCCACATCCCACAGATGAATAAAAACTTCCAATGCATGAAAACATGATTGATCTACTCCTGCTGCTACGGTGGGAGAGAGTGCAGAAGTAGCAATGACATTTGTGGCTCACATACAGGATTCGACCCTTCTGGTTGGTTGTCTTTGAAGAAAGGTTTGGTGCTAACACAACACTAGAGTCACCAGGGCTCTCGGTTTTCTCGGATTTTACCAGAAGCGACAATTTATCAATGACTATTTAAGGAGATCTTAAGGAAGGCAAAAGAAAAAAAAAAGTTTAAAATTTGCTCCAAGTGTTAGAGAAAAGCAATGCAACAAGCCAGCAGCAACTCATCATCGTGGGATGGGGTGTCACTCGTGGAAGTTTACACATTGTCCAGTCAATGCTAGAAATCTCGTCCAATAAAGTTCAAGGTCCCCAGGGACCACAAACCCCATCAGTGACATCATTCATTAAAAATTGCATTACATGCACAGGCAATTAAGCAGGATGGTCAGTGGTTCATATGTTACAGAGAAAGATATGAAGGAGGGGACCCTTTCATTCACTACAACCTTTGATTTGCCAATGCAGGAAATAGGAGATTGACCATGAGCCCACAGTGGACACAAAAAAAAAGATAAAAATTTAATTTAAAGAAAAACCAACCTGTTCAGACAAAGTGCTGGGCTAAGTGGGGCTTGAATCTAGACCTTGCGGCCAAGAGGCAGGGACACTACCACTGTGCCACACGAGCCTCTGGAGATGGTTTGAACAGTCATTGTCGACTGTGTCATACTGGATAACAAACCTCTTCGAACAGCTTCAGCCAGAGTTGGCAACCTGGAGACTAGAGAACGAAATACCTACCATTTCACATCATCGTTGTGTCCGAGGTAATGACGCTGCAGCTGCTCTTCAACGTTATACAGCACAACGACGGATGCGATGAAGTAAACAATCTCACCTGTCGGTAGGAGATAGAGATTGGACCGGCAATCGCGGCCTCGATAACCATACCTGCATCGAATGGTTAAGGCAACACCACAAGGAGACCCCAGAAGCTGCTGAATTACTGAACTGTGTATAGCACCACCTGCGCTGGAATCCTTATGTGGTCAAACATCATAATCATAGATGTACAGAATGGAAACAGACCCTTCGGTCCAACTAGTCTATGCCAACCAGATACCCTAATTAAATCCAATCCCATTTACCTGCATTTGACCCATAGTCCTCTTAAACCCTTCCTATTCACGTACCCTTCTAGATGCCTTTTAAATGTAATTGTACCAGCCTCCACCACTTCCTCATCCCATACACGCACCACTGTGTGAAAAAGTGGTAAATTCCTGACTTTTGACATAAAACAGTTAAAACAAAGGAATAGAAGCATAGTCTGCAAACAGGAGATTTATCATGTTCGCATTTCAGTCCATGATCAGTTTTGATTATCATGACCTGGAATGTTAAAATTAGGATCTGTGCATGCAGATAGACAGTCTGAGCTGCAGAATATTTTCTGGTCTTAGTTCAGATTAGCAACATTTGTGGAATTTTATTTTGCATTGGATTCAAGAATGTTCATCTCAAAAAGAAAGAGGAACATTACTGGTAGGAAAACAATATTTACAATCAATAATAAATGCATTTATCCTCATCTTTAAGTAATATATATAAAAGTAGTTACAAACTAGTCTTTGTCAAAAAAAACGGTTAATTTTCAAATAGGAAGATTTGAGGGAGTGAAACCCATCCTCCAGCACCTTCCAAACTTGTGACCTCTACCATGTAGAAGTGTAAAGTCAGAAGTCACATGACACCAGGTTATAATCCAACAGGTTTATTTGTAATCACAAGCTTTCGAAGCGCTGCTCCTTTGTCAGCTGATGAAGGAGCGGAGCTCCAAAGGCTTGTGATTTCAAATAAACCTGTCAGACTATAACCTGGTGTAGTGTGACTTCTGACTTTGCCCACCCCAGTCCAACATTGCCCTTCCACATGATGTGGAGGTGCCAGCAGCTAATTGGGATCACCACCACCTGCGTGTTTCCCACCAAGTCACTCACCATCTCCTTTTGGAACTAGATTGGTCGTTCCCTCGCTATTGGATCAAAATCCTGCTATTCCCATCAGCCCAGTATACCCCAAGGAGCGCAGTGGTTCAAGAAGGCAGCTTACCACTAAGGGAGAGTTAGAAAATAGACAAATTCTGGCCCAGCTAACAATGCCCATATCCCATGAATAGATAAAAGCCCTCTGCCATTAACTGCTCTCCAAGTTGTCAGGTCAAAGGCTGTTCCTGCCACCTGCATGCTAAAACTTAACGCAAATGGAGGTAAAACAGAATCTCTGAATTGTGCTGGTGCATACAAAGACCACTCAGCTCATCAGGCCGGCACTGGATCTTCAAAATGAGTATCATTATGTAGTACTGGTCTCCTGCCTTTTTGCCCCCATTACTTCATGCTATTTGTATCCTGAGTTAGAGCTCAACAGCCACCTTGATGGCCTGCTGTTCTGTGTATATCAAGGTGGTTTGTACCAGGGTTAGTTTGACTTCAGTAGAGAGAGGGTGGCAAGCACAAAATATATTGGCTTTCAACCAAAAATATCAGAGGTATGGCAGGGGAGGGGGGGGGAGTCCTTACTGGCCAGAAGTCGGGGGTCAACATTTACACGAGAGAGAGAGCGCGTGAGGTTATTTTACTCTATTGTAATACTGTTCCTGCAACATATTGCAAAGTCTCCAAAAACAAACAAACAAACAAATCTGTCATAAGGTGGAGGATACACCCATTCCATCTTCAGTTTGTGGGCTGGTAATTCAGTTGTGGTCTGCAATTTGTATGTTCCAGTCAGTGCCTGTGGCATGTACAAAGTGACGGGACGTCCACGTAGGAACATCTTCACATAGCCATCTTCTGCAAAAGCAACAGCAGGGAAAAGGAGAGGGTGAGACACACGGTGACCGGTTGTAGAATTCTGAAAAATCGTTATCCTGCTCCTGCTCATCACCTTCTGTATCAATCCCAGTGTCCAACACTCTCCTCAATGAAGCACTTGGAGAAATTTTTAAAATGGTAAACTTCCAGACACAAACTGAAATTAAATCACTGCTGCTAAGATGACTGCAGCTCAGTGAAGAGCATGTCCTGTTGCAAATAAAAAAAAGGACATTGAAGGTTCAATTCCTGCTGGAATTGTCTGGAGTGCGCAACCCAGACTGGCACTCCCAATGCAGTACTGACAATGCCGAGTGGCTCTTGGGCCCCTTGGGAGTGTCACTACCTCTGAGCCAGGAGGCCCAGGTTCAAGTCTCACCTACTCCAGGGGTACATAATAACATCTCTGAACAGGCTAGAGTCATAGAGATGTACAACATGGAAACAGACCTTTCAGTCCAACTTGTCCATGCTGACCCAATATCCTAAATTAATCTAGACCCATTTGCCAGCATATGGCCCATATCCTTCTAAACTCTTCCTATTCATGTCCCCATCCAGATGCCTTTTAAATGTAGTTATTGTACTAGTCTCCACCACTTCCTCTGGCAGCTCATTCCATACATGCAGCCCCCTTTGAAAACATTGCCCCTTAGATCCTTCTTAAATCTTTCCCCTCTCACTTTAAATCTCTGCCCTCTAGTTTTGGACTCCCCTACCCTGGGGAAAAGGCCTTGACTATTCACCTTATCCATGAAAGGAAAAGATATCCCAACAGAATGCTGTCTGCAGTGCCAAATTTCTAGCAAGTCATCAAACCAAGGTTCCATCTGCTGTCTAAAGTGGATGCCAAAATCTGGTGGCATCATTTTGAATAGGAAGGGAGGTCTCTCCTGCATCCTGATCAATGTTTATTACTCAAAAACATCTGTGTCCAAAACCAAAAGTACGGCACAGATGCTGGAAACCATAGATAAGAACAAACAGAAGAAAAGGAGAATTTCAATATGTCAGGCAGCAGATATGAAGAGAAGCAGTTTATATTTCAGGTTGATGATCTCTCAGAACTTGTGAGGAGACGATTTTTTTTGGGGGGGGGGGGGGCAGGCGCAGTGAAAAAGAGTAACGGAGATATTATTTTCAGGTGGGTGATCTCTCATCAGAAATCAACCTGAAATATGAGCTGTTTCTCTTCACAACTGCTTTCTGACTTGAATTTTCTGCTTTTTAAAAAAAAAACCCTTCCCATTATCACATTGCTGCTTTCAGATGCTTGCTGTGTGCCAAAGGAATAGTCCTATTGGTTCAACCCAGTTTCCTACTTTCCAGTAGCATTTTCAAAAGTAGTTGTTTGATTGCATAGCACTTTGGGACGGTCAGTGGTTGCAAAAACTACTACATAAATGTGAGCTTTTTAAAAAATCTATTTTGATATTGCCCAAACTCGAAGGAATGTTGTAATTACAGCTCAAATATTTGAAGATAAATAGCTAGCTTAAAAATTCTGATGGTGGGGTCTCTCTAAGGGGAGCTTTTTCTTTTCTGGATTCCAGAACGTTGCGCATTTCTTGAAACTTTAAAATATTGTAAATATCATAGCCATATTCTGTTGGGTTTGCAAGTGCGTAAAGCACTCAGATTGATTTCATCCATCGTGCCATCGATTGCAAAGTGCTCTCATGACCACACCGAGTGGCAGTCAACAGACCTGGGTGAACAAGAGTATGACATGGAACAAAAAAACTCTTCACAATGTTGTGTTTTTTTTTGGCTCAGAGTTAATTACTGACAGACTGAAGGTCATTTACATTGGGATTTTGGCCAATAGCAAAATCACATACAGCTGGAAGGGACTGTCAATCAGTATACAGAAAGCATGGAACCGACTAATCTGATCATTAACCCAAGGTATTTTCAAGTTCTACTGTCCAGACAGTGAACATAGCAAGTTAGTTACAAAAGGAGGTCATTGATCACTTTGTTTCTGTACTGAGCTTGTTCAAGGCAGTCAAATGGATCTTCAGGACACAGGTGAGAAAAAAAAAAGTAAGAAATCTGTTCAATGATTTTGCAATAGAAATGTTTAATGATGTGAGAAGAAAAAAAAAAAATTTACGGATGGGACAGTAGGCACATAGGACACAAAGTTAGCAGGATGACAGGGTCACAGCAGACATCTACATTTATATAGCACTATTAAGTATGAAAAAGAGATCAGAGACACAGTACTTGATCTTGTGCTCGCTAGTCTAGCTGTTGCGGATTCATCCTTCCAGGGCAGAATTGAGTGAACACTATAGTCCTTGGAGACGAATCCCAGTCTGCAAATCGAAGAAATCCTTTATCATCTGTCCAATAGGACAGTTTTGTCCTATTCATTCATGGGACATAGGCGTCATTGAACAGGCCAGAATTTATTGCCCATCCCTAATTGCCCAGAAAGCAGTTAAGAGTCAACTACATTGCTGTGGGTCTAGAGTCACCTGTAGGCCCAGACCAGGTAAGGATGGTAGATTTCCTTCCCTAAAAAAGGAATCAATGAACCAGATGGGTTTTTCTAACAAAAAACAATGGATTCATGGTCATAGTTAGACTCTTAATTTCAGGTTTTCTCATGGAATTCAAATTCTACCATCTTCCATGGTGGGATTCAAACCTGGGTCCCCAGAACATTACCTGGCTCTCTGCATTAACAGATTTTGACTACATCTAGCAACTCAAAACTTGGCATTCATGAGATGCTGTGGACCATCAACAGTACCGTATCCAATTATAATCTGTAACCTCATAGCCCAGCATATGCCCATTGTACTGGTACCATCAGGCCAGTTGGAATGGAGGCGGGGGGCGGCAGGTGGGGAGGTGGGGTGGTGGTGGTGGAGGTGGGGTTTGCCGGGAAGAAGAGGAGAACAATCATTAACCCTGGTTCAAAGAAGAGTATAAGACAGCACGCCAGGAGCAGTACACAGCGTCAACATTGTGACGCCGCAATACTAAACTACTTGCACAACAAAAACAGCAGAAGCTTACAATAGACAGACCCAAGAGATCTCAAAACAATGGATCAGATCAATGCTCTGCTGTCCTGACACAACTGGCCTTGACTCATGGTGGAGAGTTAAACACCTAACAAGAAGCGGAGGCTCCATAAATATCCCCATCCTCAATGATTGGGGTAGCCCAGCAGACAGCAAGGCCACAGTATTCCTATCTGGTCTTCAGCTTGAAGTCCTCAGTGGATGATCCACCTTGGCCTCTTCCTGTGGTCCCCGGCATCACAAATGCTAGTCTCCAACCAATTCACTCCAATGTGATGTCAAGAAACAGCTGAAAACATGAGCTATTGCAAAGACAGTGGGCCCTGACAACATTCCAGCAACAATGCTGAAGATGTGCTCCAGAAGTAGCTACACCCCCAGACAGTTGTTCCAGAGCAGCAGCAGCAGCAACACTGGCATCTATCCGACAAATGTGGAGGATTGCCTAGGTATGTCCTGTACACAAAAAGCAGGACAAATCCAACCCGGCCAATTACTGTTCTATCCTCATTCTACTTTCAAATCAGCAAAGTGATAGAAGGTGCAATCAAATGATTCTTGATCAGCAGTAACCTGCTCTGTGATACCCTGTTTGTACTAGGGCCACTCAGCTCTTGACTTTGTTACAGCTTTGGTCTAAACAGGGATAAAAAGAATGGAACACCAGAGGGGAGGAGAGAATGACTGCACTTGACATCAACCTATTTGACAGGCTGTAGCATTAACAAGTGCCACCAAGACAGGAATCTATGGAAATTAGGAGGGAAACTCTACAGGCTGGAGTCATAACCAGCACCAAGGAAGATAGTCATTGTTGAAAGTCAGTCTTCAGCTCTGGGACATTTCTATAAGAGGAGCTCCTCAGGTTAATGGCCTTGGCCAAAACATCTTCAGGGACCTTTCCTCCAACACAGGCTCAGAAGTGAGGAGGTTGATCGCACTGTGTTCAGCACCATTTGAAGCAGATTATGTGCAAATGCAGCAAGTCCTACATAATATCCAGGCTTGGGCACATGTGAATGTTGTTTGCCACTTAAGTGCCAGAGAATGACCATCTGATCATTATCCCAGGACATTACGATCTCTGAATCGCCCACTATAAACATCCTAGGCATTACCATTGAGCAAAATCCAAACTGGACTAGCCATAATCAATACAGTGGCTACAAGAGCAGGTCAGAGGCTGGGAATACTGTGCAGAGTAACTCACTGCCTGATTCTCCGAAGCCTGTCCACCATTGACAAGCCACAAGTCAGGATTGTGATGGAATTCTCCACGCTTGCCTGGATGAGTGCAGCTGACACCGCAAGCAGCTCGATTGGTATCACATCCACTACCTTCCAAAATTCATCCCCTCCACCACCAAAACTGTAGCAGCAACATGTACCATCTACACTGCGACAACTCTCCCAAGTTTCTCTGACAGTATTTTCTAAACCTGCAAACTCTACCCCATAGAAGGGCAAAGGCAACAGATACATGGGAACCCCACCACCTGCAAATTTCCTTTCTCAGCCACTCACCATCCTGACTTGGAAATACATCACCATTCCTTCAGCGATGCTGGGTCAAAATCATGGGTCCCTCTCTCCTTAACTGCACTGTGGGTCTACAGAGTGTTTCAAAAAGGCAGCTCACCACCACCCACAAGGACAATAAATACTGGCCTATTTAAAAGTACCCTCATCCCACAAAACAAATTTAACAAAACACCCCAAATTCTTATCCTGTTTCAAATCACTCCATGGCCTTTCCTTCCCAAACTCTGTAAAGTCCTCCAGTCCAACAACTGATCTCTGGCCTGTTGCACATCCGATTTAAACACTTCATGGGTGGTTCTCCCTCCAGCTGCCTGGCCCCCAAGCTCTGGCATTCCTGTCCTACATTTTTCCACCTCAATTTTCTCCTTTCAGACACCCGCCAAAAACTTTAGCTGCACTTTTGGGTACCTATTATCAGATCTTTGACTCGGAGCTCTTTTACAGCATTCAGGTAAAGTGCGAAGAGAGAATTGCATAATGCTTAAGGTGCTTTTAATCTGTAGTTAACAGGGTCACGTTCGGACTACAGAAAAAGGTCTTGGTTTTTGCTCAGAGGCAGTGGTCCTTATGTCACTTGGTTATGAGTGAGAGGTTTGGACAACTTACTACTTGGTCAACTGGAAGAAGAATGGCATCTTTGCTGTTAGAGATCCGTTTGCAATATCAGCTGGCCAGATAAAACGCCCACAACCAGGGTGTTCTGACAAGATGCTGTATACCGGGCATGAAAGGTCACATCCAGCAGAGTTTCACTTCACTAGGTCAGTCACACAGTTCATACAGGGCCTCCTGGATAATAAAGGCTGTGCACTACAAGAGCACAAGAACCTGCACCACAGGATGACCCAAACACAGACAAAGATGGTCTGAAAATCCAACCTCTGAGCTTGCAAGCTGGAACCCCAAGACATCGGGAAAAACTACTTGAACAGAAACTCCTCCATTTGGGTCTGTCTGTTGAATGATTGCAACATTTGATGAGAAGAAAGTTAAGTGTATTCAGGATGAGGGAATACACCAGAAAGACAACATCTTTATCCATCCTTCCAAAAGGAATATCACATGCAGGGTTTGCAATCAGATATGCAAACCAAGGTGTGGTCCAATGTCGCATGAAACAACGTTAACCTGGATTGTAACTGTTTCACATAGGCTGGACCCTCATCTGACAAGAGAACCCATTGTTGTTGGTACTGTTACACCCCATTTGGGAAGTTCACTGATACAAGCCCCACTCTTCCTTGGGTTGTCACTGAAAATGAAAGATTTAATCAAAGCATGCAAAGCCCCTAATTGCCCTGTTTGATGGAAGCAGTGTTGTCTGTTAAAACACCACGTGTAGAAATAGGTTTGACGCACACACACACCCACACGGGGGAAGCATTGTTCAACAGCACCAGTCCACAGGCTTCAGTGAGAAGTTCTTCAGTTCTCTGATCTCTTTCCTTTCAAGCTCTTTGCCAAAGGCACGGTGGATAGATACACCTATTGTTCAGTTTGTCAAATCATTGGTTAGAGGCAGCAGCTTATAGCAAACAGTAGGGAGTGTCCGACCTCCACAACTCCTGGTTCAAGTCTCACCAGCCCTGGAGATGTGTCATAACATATCTGGGCAGGTTGATTTTAGTAAAGTTGAAATGATCCCATTAGATCTAGTATACATCTGACTTTACAGAAAGCGAGTCAACTTCAAAAAGCATTTCATTGACTGGAAAACTCTTTGGGAGGCCTTGTGACCTACTGTTTGAACAAGAAGCTCTGGGTTCAGGTCTCAACCAATGGACATAGAAGGGGTTAGAGATAACAAGGTGTAGAGCTGGATGAACACAGCAGGCCAAGCAGCATCAGAGGAGCAGGAAAGCTGATGTTTCGGGCCTAGACCCTAGACAGCTTTCCTGCTCCTCTGATGCTGCTTGGCCTGCTGTGTTCATCCAGTTCTATACCTTGTTATCTCAGATTCTCCAGCATCTGCAGTTCCTACTATCTCTGACATAGAAGGGGTGTTTGTTTGCAACACAGCCAAACCATTTGGTTATCAAGCTGTACTGGTAAAGCAGGCTGTAAGAGTGGGGGAGTCTCCCAATCAGCCATGCCTGATGTGGCATGGCCTCTCCTTAAGCTACAGCATCTAATGCCCTGTTCCAGAGAAAACAAGCTATGGGAACAGATAAAAGCATATTTTTTTCTGCCTTGTTTGCCACCAGGCATTGGAAGAAAGCAACACATATGAAAAGGATCAAGTGTACTTTGGAATGTTCATGTTTGCAAAACAAAAGGCAACTTGGTTGAATGTTAACATTCCAGTGTATAATGCACTTCAGAAACATTTGTGCAGAGGATTAGGGGCTCAGATACGGAGTCAATTCTCATCTGTTTGCGTTTAGCAGTCCAGTTTAACATGCAGGTCTGATGTAGAAATGATAGGACCTGGATGGAAGTTGCCTCTGGTGGTTGCTGCAATTTACTTTGCTGTTACAGTGAGCACTCCTGTCAAAGCCAATGCTGTTCAATCATGATCAAAGGCCAAAGTTAAAAATCAGTGAAACAAAAGCAGAGGAGGGTTTTATGCTTAAACAGCATACAGCCAGTGTCCTAAAGAGACACATTTGTACAGATAATACATTTACTAATAAATGCATTAACAACATTTGTATTTAATTTTTAATTCCAAGTCATTTAGATAGAGAGAAGTCAAGACATCTAACTTTTCGTTGAGTTTATTGACTTGCTTAGTCTTACTCCTCTCATTTCATGGATATTTTCTAAAAAAAAAGTTGTTTAGAGATATTAGAGACACCTTCGAGCAGATGGGACTTGAACCAGAGCCTCCTGGCTCAGATGTAGGTACAGTAGTAGTGTCCCACGAGAGCAACCACCCCTTTATCTCATATCCAGTGTTCAAGCTCACTTTTGTTTTACTTAACCTATTTTTTTCCCTAAATCAACCTGTTCAGAGATGTTATTATTACACATCTCTGGAACAGGTGGGAGGGTAGGGACACAGCCACTGCACAAGAGAATCCTTGCTCAAGCAAGCATGTGCTCAGAAAAATAATTAATGCCAAACTACCTTAAATGACAGCCAATATCTGGTCAAAGTGAAAAAAAAACAAGCACCAAATCATTTTATTTTGCGAGAGCGAGATATCTTATGTGAAGTGCACCATAGAAACAATTTTGTTTGAGGGATAATGGCCTATCAAGTTATGGCCTGCGTTCAATGTTTGTCTTTCCGGAGGCAGCAATCTTGGTTGGGGAATTAATGATGAGAGTGTTTCAGTGCCATGTTAAAAATCAATGAGAGAACGTGCCTTTGCCATAGGGAGGGGCAGAGACAATCAATTCAAGATTGATGCGTTCTACTGGGTAACAGACTTCCTATCAAAGTGACATGCATTAATCAACAGCTCATTTAGTACAATATTCACAAATTGCAGCTGAATAGGTTCCAGCTTATAGACTTCAAATGCGTCATTTATAAAATGAGTCTTTGAGAAAGGTCTTTGGGCCCATTACAGTCCATGCTAGCACTTTGGAAAAGCTATTCAATTAGTCCCACATCCACAAAGCCTTATCTAGTACAGATACTCTTGGGAAAATAAAAGAGTAAATCTGCTTTCACAGAAGGGAACAGATTTCACTAGTTCAGGAGTCTAGGACAAGGCAGAGATTTGGAGACAGCTGTACTGCACGGATACTGACGGTTTGGACCAACTTGTCCAAGTCAGCCCGATATCCTGAATTAATCTGGTCCCATCTGCCAGCATTTGGCTCATATCCCTCTAAACCCTTCCTATTCATGTACCCATCCAGATGCCTTTTAAATGTTGTCATTGTACCAGGTTCCTCCACTTCCTCTGGCAGCTCATTCCATACACACACCACCCTCTGTGTGAAAAAGTTGCCCCTCAGGTCCCTTTTAAATCTTTCCATTCTCACCTTAAACCTATGTCCTCTTGTTTTGGCCTCCCCCACCCTGGGGAAAATGCCTTAGCAATTCACCCTATTCATGCCCCTCATGATTTTAAAAACCTCTATAAAAGGTCACCCCTCAGCCTCTGACACTCCAGGAAAAATAGCCCCAGCCTATTCAGCCTCTCCGTATAGCTCAAACCCTCCAAACCTGGCATCATCCTTGTAAGATAACAAGGTGTAGAGCTGGATGAACACAGCCGGCCAAGCAGCATCAGAGGAGCAGGAAAGCTGACGTTTCGGGTCTAGACCCTTCTTCAGAAAATCATCCTTGTAAATAGTTTCTGAACCCTTTCAAATTTCACAACATCCTTCCTATAGCAGGGAACACTTCTACACAAAAGGGTAGTAGGAGTTTGTAACTCCCTTCTACCAATGGATTCTAAATTAATTGTTAATTTTAAAATCAGACGTTCGAGCTTTTTTTAAAAAAATAAACAGAAAAAGGGTATTAAAAAGGTAATAGAGACACAGATGATTCCATTGGCTGGTAGTGCAGGCTTGAGGGGCTGAGTGGCCTACTCCTGGTCCTATGCTTTGGAGGTGCACTTCAGTCCTTTCAGGGAGCCAACACTAACTCTGATCCCAAAGACCTCCTGCATTGCAAGTTACTCAGAGATAGTAACTTGTTGCTTTTTAAGGAGTTGAGCATGGTTATATTTTCAGGCTGTTGTTGTACTCTGATCTGGATGACTGGATACAGAATAAAATAACTTCTGATCACCTTTATAACCAGTACTCATGTCATATGAGAAGATTATCTTTAATACATTGCCTCTGTACATTCAGATGGTGACTAAAGATGTAAAATTAACACTCACCGGCACTGAAAATGGAGTCTTTATGTTTGCTGCAAAAAAAGAGAGACAATTAAAGACATTTCTAGCTCAGAAAAAACAAACTAATCTGCATCTTGTCTCAATAAAGTACAATCAATTCCTTTGATCCCACTGATTGCTGCAGGAAATTCTAAAACCCTTAATTCCATCCATTTCTCCCAACTACAGTTCAAACCCCAAAGGTGATCAAAGTTATGATCTGACCTCCTCGGTCTTTAAGGAAGGGAACTGCCATTTCATAGAATCCCTTCAGCGTGGAAACAGGCCATTTGTTCCTTAGAGTCCATGCCGACCCTCTGAACAGCATCCCACACAGACCCACCCCCTACCCTATCCCTGTACCCCCGCATTTCCCGTGGCTAACCCACTGAGCTGCACATGCCTGGACACTATGGGTATTTTAGCATGGTCAATACATCTAGCCTGCACATCTTTGGACTGTGGGAGGAAACCGGAGCACCCGGAGGAAACCCACGCAGACACTAGACAGGATCTTTGGTGGCAGTTATAGTGATGCTGGTACTTTTCACTTCCCTACTTGAAAGTACTTCAACAAACACAACCTTAACTGACAAAAAACAGAAGTTGCTGGAAAAGCTCAACAGGTCTGGCAGCATCTGGCGCATGGTGGCTCAGTGATTAGCACTGCTGCCTCAAAGCGCCAGGGACCCGGGTTCAGTGCCAGCTTTGGGCAACTGTCTGTATGGAGTTTGCACATTCTCCCCATGTCTGCGTGGGTTTCCTCCGGGTGCTCTGGTTTCCTCCCACAGTCCAAAGATGTGCAGGTTAGGGTGGGTTGGCCATGCTAAATTGCCCATAATGTGTGTAGGTTTGTTTGATTAGCCATGGGAAATGCAGGGTTACAGGGATACGGTAGGGGGGTGGGTGAGATGCTATCCAGAGAATCGGTGTGGACTTGTTGGGCCAAATGGCCTGTTTCCACACTGTAGTGATTCATTTTAACGTGAAAACTCCACACAAACAAACAGTCACCCAAGGGTGTAATCGAACCTGGGTCCCTGGTGCTGCGAGGCAGTAGTGTGAACCACTGACACACTGTGCTACCCATTTGTCCAATTATTCACGTGACTGCCATTCCTCATCCCTGGAATCAATCTTGTACATCTTACGCTCAAAATGCAAGCAGACAAATATTTATTAATGTTATTAGTCAGTCAATCTATTTCTCACGATAAAAGGCTCCCAATCCACCCACAGATGCTTATTTTTTAAAAATAAACTTGTTTTTTGGGATAACAAGAGCTGGATGAACACAGCAGGCCAAGCAGCATCAGAGGAGCAGGAAGGATGTTCTTTTTAAGAAGTCAGTCAGTCAGGATTAAAACCTCGCCTAACCTGCAGGCATCAATGCTCCGTACTACAGTAATTACCAATGTACACAGCCCGACTGACAGGCAACTTTGTTTGCTCAACTAAAGGCTTCAGTGTTCAGAAACATTTTAAAAAAGAAAGAGAGAGAGAGAAAATAAAGGTATCATAATAGCAGCTTCCAAAAAGTAATTTTAACAAAAAAAAAACAAACATTTGCTGCCCAAGAAAGCAGAGGGATGGTTAATGAATATTTTTGAGAAAAAAAAGAGTTTTGTTAGGCAAGAGCTACAGAACTAAAAAGAGGGTTGATGGAACAAAGTTACAGGTCAGTCAAGAGTCTGATTGAGCAACGTAATAGGGTGGAGGAGCCAAGTGCCTGCTTGAATGCTTACAAGTTAATATCCATGCATAAATTTGGATAAGTAAGTCATGTCAGGGAATTATAACAACCACTTATGTTGCTCTTCAGTTGCGGCTCAGCAGACAGCAGTCTTGCCTGAGTCATTATGGGTCTGGGCTCCACTCCCACTCCAGCAAGTGAGGACAACAACAAGGCGGCTGATAGTCCCAGAGCAGTATGGAGGGAGTGCCACACTGTTGGAGGCACTGTCTCTCAGTGGGGTCTTAAAGGGGCACGTGGAAAGAAGATCCCACAGCACTATTTTGAAGGGGAGTTCTCCCTGGTGACATGGCTAATACACATCTCAACCCAGATCATGCAAATTTAAAAGAAGATTTGGTCATTATCCCATTGCAATTTGTGGGAGCTTACTGTGCACAACTTGGCTGCCACATTTTGTACACTACAAGAGCGGCTACAAAAATATTTTGTGAGCTGTAAAGCCCAGTGAGGTGACCAGAGGACATGAAAAGTGCTCTACAAATAAAAAAAGCAGGACTTTTTTCTTTGACTGCCAGGTCCTATAATTCAAGTTGGGGAGGCGATGGTCTAGTGGTGTTAAACACTGGACTGTTAATCCAGAGATGCAGGGATTCTGTGGACACATCATGGCAGATGGTGGAATTTGAATGCAATACAAATCTGGAATTAAGGGTCTAATGATGACCGTGAATCCATTGCCAATTGCTGGAAAAGCCCATCTGGTTGACTAATGTCCTTTAGGGAAGCAAATGCCATCCCTACCTGGTCTGGCCTACATGTGACTCCAGACCCACAGCAATGTGGTTGACTCTTAACAGCCTCCTGGGCAATTAGGGATGGGCAATAAATGCTGCGTAGCCAGTGACGCCCACATCCCATGAATTAAAAAAAAAAATTTTTGCCCACTTCTTCCACAATTGGAGGCTGCACCAGCTTTTGACAGTTTTCCCAGCATCCCCCACAGATGGGTACGAAGAGAGATCTTTCTTCCTGGAGTTATCTTAGAGTCACAGGCATCTTTTTAAAAATTGCTGGGATGCACAGGATACTGTGCAGACAAACTTAGCTGGTCCAGTAACATTGACATCTACGATGTCGTACCAGGCAACAACAGAAGTAGATTTTGGTGGGATGACAACATTGGCATTAAATCGTGTCAGAGTTTTAACCAAAAACCTAAACATAGCTTTTCTATTCCATTATTAGTACCAATATCTTCGGCCCTCAAATCTGAAAAGGTTCCCTCTCATCACCACAATTTACAGCAATAGCTCATGTTTGCCTTGTGATTAAACTCCCACACATGCATTAAAGAAACAAAATTAAATGCTAGAGAGAGATGCAATGATATTAGGGCAGATGGCCAACAGCTTGGTCATAGAACTGGTTTTAAAAAAGCATTTAAAAAGGCAGAAAGTTCTTTCTAGAGAAATCCTAGACCATAGACCCCATCTGGTTGAAATCTCAGGTGCCAAAGATGGAACAATTAAACTCGGGCATGGTCCCAAGAGGCCAGAAATAGAGCAGCACAGATTTCAAAAGGATCGTGGAGCTTTTTAACTTTTAAATTTACTTGTGGGATGCGGGTATTTCTGGCTGGTGTTGCCAATCCCTAGTTACCCCTTGAGAAGTAGTGAGCTGCCTTCTTGAATTGCTGTAGGTTGACCCACAATGCCACTAGGGAGGGAATTCCAGGATTTTGACCCAGCAACTGTGAATGAACAGTAATATATTTCCAGGTCAGGACAGTGAGTGGCTTGGAGGAGAACTTGAAGGCAGTGGTGTTCCCATGTATCTGCTGCCCTTGTCCTTCAGGATGGTAGAGGTCGTGGGTTTGGAAGGTGCTGTCTAAGGAGCTCGAGTAAATTTCTTGTAGATGGTGCACACTGCTGCTACTGAAAGCTAGAGTGGATGTTTGCGGACGCGGTAACAATCAAGCGGGCTGCTTTGTCCTGGATGGTGTCAAGTTTCTTGAGTGTTGTTGGAGCTGCGCCCATCCAGGCGAGTAGGGAGTATTCCATTACACTCCTGACTTGTGCCTGGTCAATGGTGGACAGGCTTTGGGGAGTCCGGAAGTAGTTGCTCACTATAGTATTCCTAGCCTCTGACTTGCTCTTGTAGAGACTGTGTTCATGTGCTGAATCCAGTTGAGTTTCTGGTCAATGGTAACACCCAGGATGTTGTTAGTGGGGGATTCAGAGACGGCAATGTCATTGAATGTCAAGGGGCAGTGATTAGATACACTTATTGGAGAGAGTCATTGACTCTCTGGAGGATATTAGGGAGAAAGGAAGTGGTGATGCCATGGTGCGATTTGAAAAAGAAGGTGAGAATTTTAAAAATCAAGACACATTTTACAATCAAGAGCCGATGTAGGTCAATGAGGTGAGATACAAATGGGGAATGGAAATTGGTTTAAGTTAGGCTACAACCAAACAAAAATGAAAAACACTGTCATATTTTTGGGTGTGTCATTTAAAAAAAATATGTTCATGGCATATGAGTATCATGTGCAAGGGCAACTCTCAATGCCACCTTCTCAAGCCACTGAAGTCCTTGGGGTGTGGGGACACCCACAATGCTGTTATGTAAAGAGCTCCAGGATTTCGACCCAGTGACATTGAAGGAACAACAATATATTTCTGAGTTGGCATGGTGGCTCAGCGGTTAGCACTGCTGCCTCACAGTGCCAAGGACCCAGGTTTGAATCCAGCCTTGGGCAACTGTTTGTGTTGAGTCTGCACGTTCTCCAAATCTTTGGACTATGGAAGGAAACCCGCAAAGAAGTGTAGGTTATATGTATTGACTATGCTAACTTGCCCATGGTGTCCAGGGAAGTGCAGGCTAGGTGGGGTAGCCACAGGAAATGTAGGGTTACAGGGATAGGGTGGTGGACTGGGATGGAGGGTCAGTGCTGACTCAACATCTGAATGGCCTCTTTTCACACCGTACAGATTCTGAGTCAGGATGATACATGGTTCAGAGGGGAACCTTCAGATGGTGGCGTTCCCATGTATATCGTTCCCCTTGTCCTTCTAGATGGAAGTGGTCAAGCGTTTGGATAATGCTGTCTAAGGAGCCGCGGTGAATTTCTGCAGTGCATCTTGTAGATGGTACACACTGCTGCTACTGAGGATGTGATGCTAGTCAAAACAGGCTGCTTTGTCCTGGGTGATGTCAAACTTCTGAAGTGTCGTTGGAGTTGCGCCTATCCAGTGATTCCCAAAATCTCACCTGCTCTTGAAGCTAAAAAGGGGTGGCACAGTGGTAGCACTGCTGCCTCACAGTGCCAGGGACCTCGGTCCAATTCCACCCTTAGGCGACTATCTGTGCAACGCCACACATTCTCCCAATGTCTGCGTGGGTTTCCTCCGGGTGCTCCAGTTTCCTCCCACAGTCCAAAAACGTGCAGGTTAGGGTGGATTGGCCATGCTAAATTGCCCGTAGTGTTCAGGGATGTGCAGATTAGGTGGGTTATAGGGATAGGTCTGGGTGGGATGCTCTGATGGTCGGTGTGGACTTGTTGGGCCGAAGGGCCTGTTTCCACACTGTAGGAATTCTATGATCTATGATCAAAGCAACTGAAGGAATTAAAAACTACACAATGTCAGGACAGTTGCAAACCAACCCAACACAACTCGGTTGGAGTGGAGTGAAATGTACAAATCAATCAATAACATTTCAGCAAGTTGCACCTGAACTGCAGCTTCCAGTTACACTGGAAAATAGTAATGTGGCTGTACAAGACATTGGTTAGGCCACTTTTGGAAAACTGTGCTCAATTCTGGTCTGCCTGCTATTGCAGAGATGTTGTGAAACGTGAAAGGGTTCAAAGGAGATTTACAACGATGTGGCTGGGTTTGGAGGGTTAGAGCTATACGGAGAGGCTGAATAGGCTGGGGCTATTTTTCCTGGAGCGTCGGAGACTGAGGGGTGACCTTATAGAGGTTTATAAAATCATGAGGGGCAAGGATAGGGTGAATAGCCGAGGTCTTTTTCTCCAGGGTGGGGTAGTCCAAAACTAGAGGGCATAGGTCTAAGAAGAGATGGGAAAGATTTGAAAGGGACTTGAGGGGCAACTTTTTAAATGCAGAGGGTGGTGCATGTATGGAAATGAACGGCAGTGGTAGAGGCAGGTACATTTAAAAAGGCATCTGAACAGGTACGTGAATAGGAAGGGTTTAGAGGGATATGGGCCCAATGAGACTGGATGAATTTAGGATACCTTGTCGGCACGGACAAGTTGGACTGAAGGATCTATTTCCATGCTGTACAGCTCTATGACTTTAGTTGTTGCATGTGCTACAGTAGATTAGAATTTTGAAAAGTAATTTGAGAACTAAAGTTGGTCAACCAGCTATTGGAGGCTAACTATATACAAACTGGAGGAGAGAGCGAATTTACATTCTGAACACAGAAGTAAAAAAAAAAGCTGTTGGCTGTGCCTCTACAAGCTTGTTATTAAAAGATTACTTGTGAGAAACTAAACAACATTAAAATGCTACAAAAGTAACTCTCAACATTGCAGCTGAGTGAGACAGACCCATTGTGCCAAACAAGCCAAATTGGAATGGAAGAAGAACAAGAAAATGCCAAGAATGTATCCTGGCAACAGAAAATAAAGCAGCCTTTCCACTATCTTAAAAAGACAGACCCCTTTAGAGAGGAATATAACATTTTACAATCAAAATGAACAAACAAATTACTGGAAGCAGCAGCTTAAAAATAGACCAGCAAAGTTAAACACAGTTGCACAGCAACCGTGGTCAGCCACTTCCTGTAGCTTTTAAACTACATTTTACAAAGTTGGAAAAGCAAACAAGATAAAGACACCTACTTTGAAGCAGCTTTACTCATCTTTCTAGGTGGATAAGAATTGGATCAAAATCTTGAATACAATCTACAAACTCTACCACTCAAGAGGGAAGACTTCAGAATACTTCACTTCCCAACAGTCGAGCGGTTATGTACAGCGAGCTGACTCAATCAGCTTGTAAAGGCAGCTCAGGCCAATCAGATGCCACTTCTTATTGGATGAGTGCCAACTGGCTTTCCAGCATCACCTGATAGCAGTGAAACCCAAGCACAAGATGAGTGCCTGGAGGTAACAGAAAATAATTATAAAGTGTTTCAGTACGATTTGATTTCGAAATTGACTATTTAACTCTAAAACATAAAAAAAGATTAGTTTCCAATTGCCCTCCCCATTAACCTTTTAGACTGTGGTTAGCACTGCTGCCTCACAGCACCAGGGACCCGGGTTTGATTCCACCCTCGGGTGACTGTCTGTGTGGAGTTTGCACATTTCCCCATATCTGCGTGGGTTTCCTCCAGGTGCTCCGCTTTCCTCCCATGGTCCAAAGATGTTCAGGTTAGGTGGACTGGCCATGTTAAATTGCCCTGTAGTGTCCAGGGATGTGCAGGCTAGGTGGGTTAGCCATGGGAAATGCAGGGATAGGGTAGGGGCTGGGTCTGGTGTGGAATGCCCTTCGGAGAGCCTGCTCCCACTCTGTAGGGATTCTGCGATTATGCCAGCTCTTTGATGCGACTCTCCAGTTGATCATCATTCTCCTCATCGTCATCTGTGAGCACCACAAATGTTTGTTCTTTAGCTATGGATCCAGTTCTGATTTGAGTACCATATTTAACCAGCTCCTGCCACCCTCTCGGGTGTATGCCAGGACAACAGCTCACTCCATTAGAAGAAACGTTTCCTCTTGTTGTAGCTTTGAATTTTGCTTTCACATCACAATGTCTGAAAACTCTGGTTCCAAAATAGGACTTCTTTAAAGTTTGGACATGCTAATGCACATTTTGAGAACATAACACATTGCTACAATTAACCTGAGAGACTGGCCTCTGATCACATATTTCTTTCCATTTTCTCAGTTCTGTTTTTATCTCACCTTCTCTTGTTTCTTCAAATTCCTGTAATTATTCCTTTCTCTCCCTTTCACAATCTGTAATTTGGAGTCTTCTGCTGCTCAGCTGCACCATCCATGTCTCAAGAGGATTACCCTCTTGCCCCTGGCTCAAGTCCCATACAGGAGACCTGAGCCCTAAATCTAAGCTGACACTCACTACTGAGGGAGTGATTCACTGCTGGAGGTGCAGTTTTTCAGAGGAGATATTAAACCAAGGCTCTGTCTGCTCACTCAGTTAAGTTTAAAAGTTCTTATCAGACACTATGTCAAGGAAACAAAAAGAAAGTGGAGGTGATGGTCTAGCAGTATTATCAGTAGACTGTTAATCCAGAAATTCAGCTAAAGTTCTGGGGACCCGAGTGCAAATCCCGCTATGGCAGATGGTAGCAGTTAAATTCATTTAAAAAAAGAATCTGGAATTGTGAGTCTAATGATGACCATGAAACCACTGTCAATTGTCAGGAAATGCCCACCAGGTTCTCTAATGCCCTTTAGGGAAAGAAATCTGCCAACCTTACCTGGTCTGGCCAGACTCCAGACTCCAGGCCCACAGCCATGTGGTTGGCTGTAAAATGCCCTCTGGGCAATTAGGGATGGGCAATAAATGGCCTAGCCTGTGATGCCGACATCCCACGAATGAATTTTAAAAAAAGCAGGAGAGTACTCCTAGGTTAAAGGCCAACAGAGGGCAACAAAAAAAAAGAAATAAGGAGGGAGAAGATTAAATATCAGGGTAAACTAGACAGTAATATAAATAAAAACTATAAGAGTTCCTTTAGATATATAAAGGGCAAAAGAGGGGCAAAAGTGGACATTGGACCACTGGAAAATGACGCTGAAGAGATACTAGTGGGGAACAAGGAAATGGCTGAGGAACTGAATAATTACTTTCCGTCAGTCTTCACAGTGGAAGACACGAGTAATATCCCAAAAATTCAAGAGAGTCAGGGGCAGAGCTGAATATGGTGGCCATCGCCAAGAAAAAGGTGCTAGTAAAACTGACTGGCCTGAAGGTGGATAAATCACCTGGAACACATGGACTACACCCCAGAGTTCTAAAGGCGATAACTGAAGAGATAGTGGAAGCATTAGATTGATTTTTCAGGAATCGCTAGAATCAGGGAGGGTCCCAGAGGACTGGGAAATCGCTAACATGACATCTCTGTTTAAAAATGGAGTAAGGCAAAAGACAGAAAATTACAGGCTGATTAGCCTAACCTCAGTTGTGGGTAAGATTTTGGAATCCATTGCGAAGAATGAGATTTCTGAATATTTGGAAGTGTATGGTAAAATAGGGCAAAGTCAGCAGCTTCATCAAGGGGAGATCATGCCTGACAAATCTGCTTGAATTCTTTGAGAAAGTAATAAGCAGGGTAGACCAGGGAGAGCCAATGGATGTTATCTACCTGGACTTCAAGAAGGCCTTTGACAAGGGGCCGCACAGGAGGCTGCTGAGTAAGACAAGGGCCCACGGTGTTAGAAGCAACATGCTAGCATGGATAGAAGATTGCCTTCTGCCAGACAGCCAGAGAGAGGGGATAAAAGGGTCTTTCTTAGGATGGCAGCCGGTGACAAGTGGTGTTCCACAAGGATCAGTGTTGGGACCACAACTTTTCACTTTACACATTAATGATCTAAATGAATGAACTGTGGGCATTCTGGCTAAGTTTGCATACGATACAAAGACAGGTGGAGCGACAGGTGGTATTAAGGAGGTGGGGAAGCTGCAGAAGGATTTGGACAGGTTAGGAGAGTGGACAAAGAAGTGGCAGATGGAGTACAGTGTGGGAAAGTGTGAGGTCATGCACTTTGGTAAGAAGAATAAAAGCATGGACTATTTTCTAAATGGGGGGAAAATTCAGAAGTCTGAAGTGCAAAGAGACTTGGGAGTTATAGTCCAGGATTCTCTCAAGGTAAACTTGCAGGTTGAGTCAGTAGTCAGGAAAGCAAATGCAGTGTTGGCATTTATTTTGAGAGGACTTGAATATAAAAGCAGGGATGTACTACTGAGGCTTTATAAGGCCCTGGTTGGGCCACATTTGGAGTATTGTGTGCAGTTTTGGGCCCATATCTCAGGAAGGATGTACTGGCCCTGGAGCAGGTTCAGAGGAGGCTCATGAGAATGGTCCCAGGAATGGAAAGCTTAACATATGAGGAACGTTTGAGGACTCTGGGACTATACTCATTGGAGTTTAGAAGGATGAGGGGGGGATCTAATTGAAACTTACAGAATACTGAATGGCCTGGACAGAGTGGATGTTGGGAAGATGCTTCCATTGGTAGGAGAGACTAGGACCCGAGGGCACAGCCTTAGAGTAAAGGGAAGACCTTTTAGAACGGAGATAAGGAGAAACTACTTCAGTCAGAGAGTGGTGAATCTATGGAATTCACTGCCACAGAAGGCTGTGGAGGCCAGGTCATTGAGTACATTTAAGACTGAGATAGATAGGTTCTTGATTATCAAGGGGATCAAGGGTTACGAGGAGAAAGCGGGAGAATGGGGTTGAGGAACTTATCAGCCGTGACTGAATGGGAGAGCAGACTCGATGAGCCAAATAGCCTAATTTCTGCTCCTATGTCTTATGGTCTTAATATTTAACCACAAGGTGGATTGTTTAATGGACTTTGTTCCAAATGCCAAATTAGGTAGCAAAAGCTTTTCAGAGATTGACATGGGCTTTATTGTAAATCTATAGTTTATCACAAACTCCAGTTTCCACCTTTCCCATTTAGAAGCCAATTCCTCATTGGGGAAGAAACCAGTGTGACTTTTTAATACAAAGAACCCCAGCATCCAAATTTACAAAATTACCCGGCTAACAAATTACTAACTCTACCCACCAGGAACAGCACAGTAATGACAAAAATCTAGAAGATGCAGGTGAATTATGGGAAGGGACTACATCAAAATGGGGTTGGTGGGTGTAGTGATTGGAACCAAGTGGATTTTGTTGACTACGAGATTCTTGATTGGGGTTGTTAACCTGGGCGAATCAAGAGGCCCTGGCTGACCAATATTAACAGGGGATTTAGAATCTCCACAGTTAAGGGGACTGACTCCAAGCTGGCTAGCTACTGCCAGTATACTGTGCATATGTCAACAAAGGATATGACTTGGTGATACCAGCTTCTGTGCAGTTATTTCAGTGGGAGAGATAATGTATGCCAGTCACCATGCTGTCCACCTATCCCAAAAGGAAAAACCCAGTAGCTTTTCTTTATATCTAGAAGTGCTCTTTTCTTTTCTCACCATCACCAAATCACTTGTGATTTTTTTTATTTCTATTATCTAGCATCAGTAAATCCCTACATTCTCCACTTGATTAACTTACATACAAGGCCTGTTCAGGTCAATGCAAATTATCAAAGTGGTGGATTCAGAGGTAGGGAAAGAATGAGGGGGCTAAATCAAAATGGAGATGGAAGGGGTGATAAAGAGCTCCACCCCTGTGGTGCCCACCTCTCTCTCTATAGGCATTGGGAGAATTGGTGACACCGCATGCTCCCTCTCCAATGCCACCTGGGCACAAACGTAGCCACAGAAGAGAGGTGGACGGTTAGCGTCTAGGACACCTTCCACAGCCCACTGCCTGGCCAACACCTAGCTCTTGATATTTTTAATCAATCCATTCAAACATCTTATTATGCAATAAGTGAAAACCGAACGAAGTGCAGATGTTGTAAATCAGAAACAAAAATGGAAATTGCTGGAAAAGCTCAGCAGGTCTGGCAGTATCTGTGGAGAGAAATCAGAGTTAACGGTTTGGGTCGAGTGACCCCAGAGGAGTTCTGAGGAAGGGTCACTCGAGCCAAAACGTTAACTCTAATTTCTCTCCACAGATGCTGCCAGACCTGCTGAGGTTTCTAGAAATTTCTATTTTTGCGTATGTTATTAAATACCTCAGATGTAGGTGGGACTTGAACCCAGCTCTTCAGGCCCAGAAACAGAAACAGAAACAGAAACAGAAACAAAGTTGCTGGAAAAGCTCAGCAGGTATGGCAGCATCTGTGAAGGAAAAAAACAGAGTTAACATTTT